CCCCATCTTCCCTCTTTCCCCTTACCCTTCTCCCCATCTTCCCTCTTCCCCCCCTCCCCCTTAACCCTACCCTTCTCCTCCACCTTCCTCCCTCTCCCCTTCTCCCCCACTCTCCAACCCCCTGGTGCCCTGCAGCCTGCTAGTCCTGGGCCTGAAGCACTTTGAGGAGACTGACTTCCCAAAGCCCCTGATCAGTCAGTACCTTATGCCCCCAAAGACCTACCACCAGCTGTCTGTCCGCATCAAGAACCTCAGTGTCAGCCGAGCTCCGGACAACGTCATCAAAGTGAGTGAGATTTTTTTTTGGGGGTGGTGCGCGCGGCTTGAGGGGACATGCTGGGCTCTGGGCTCTGGCCTCAGCAGCAAGCGTTTTGTCTGGTCATCACTGCACTGCACCGCACCGCACCACTGATGGCTGAGGGAGCAGCATTACGTACAGAAGCAGCTGCTGCGATGCACACAGCAGTTCAACAGCCCCATATCTGTGTATGACGGTCGAGCTGCACCCATAGGTTCTGTGTGTTTGTCAGCAGCAGGAATCCCAGCTCTTCTCCACCTTCCTTGACAATAATTGCTGCTTATACAGTACCTTGGATCTCCAAGGTTGTCCCTAAGCCTGAACAGGACTGAGCTGGCGAAGCTACACCTTTGGGACAAGAAAGGCCAATTTTCTGGAGTGCCTCAGCTGAGGAGAGGGAACCAGAGGGTATCCCAGAGCCTGTGGTCTGGGCAGCTTTTCTCTCCAGCCCCCTGCTGATTTGATGTGATTTATTATTGTCACATGTACCCAGGTACAGTGACAAGTTTTGTTTTGCGTGCAGTACAGGCAGATCATTCCAAACAGAGATCATAGGGTGATTGAACAGAGCGAGGAATACAAAGTTACGGCTGCAGAGAGAGTGCACAGAAAGCGAGTTCGCCATTAGATGGGGGTTGGCCTGTGGTGTTTGAGGACTGGAGGCGGATGGCAACAACTTGGAGGGGTTGTTTGGCATGGTGAGTATTTGAAAAGCAGCCGGCTGGTGTGTGGGGGAGCTGACTTGTTTCGCTGTCTCGAGGACACTGCGGCGTGGACTGTCGGAAAAACAACCCTCCCCCTCCTTCCTTCCGACAGGTTTTCAAAAAGAGGAGAGTTGTGCTTCCGATGCCGAGCCTGTACACGGCCGTGAGTGCTGAGGATCGGAAACCCCCCATCGAGAGGGAGGAGAACAAACTGCCCTATTGGCTGCAGGTCAGCACTACAGGAAGCAGCAATCAGTAAACTGCAGCCTAAATGCTGAATTACACAGCGGGGAGTTAGTTTCACAGCTTAATGAGGGCTTTATTGGGAATCTGTAATCGAGCACAAGCTTCCACCTTTCCATCTCCAGGGGCCAAAACCCAGCCGGCTCCTCAATATTTTTAACCAACCCACTCAGGGACGTGATGACACAGCTTCGGAGAAGGTGGGACTTGAACCCAGATCTCCTGGCTCAGATATAGGGACGCTACCACTGCGCCATAACGCCCTCATGACCTGCCTCGGTATTTTGATTAACCTGTTTTTCTAACCAATCAATTCAGAGATGTAGTGACACACCTAAGGAGCAGATGAGATGTGAACCGGGGGCGTCCTGGTCCAGTGGTAGGGACACTACTGCTGCGCCACAAGACGGCCCCTTAACCTGCCTCTTTTTCAATTCAAAATCTCCTCAAAAAAAAGCAACCAATTAATTCCTAAATTAAACAACAATAAAGAGGCACTTGACGCCTTTTCTGTCAAACACTATATTGTTCCCCCCCACCACAACACTCCCTGAGACAGGGATAGCACGGGGTTAGATACAGCGTGAAGCTCCTTCTACACTGTTTTACTCCCCATCAAACATTCCCAGGCCAGGGATAGCACGGGGTTAGATACAGGGTAACACTCCTTCTACACTGTCCCCCCATCAAAACCTCACTAGGGACAGCACGGGGTTAGATACAGGGTAAAGCTCACTCTACACTGTCCCCCCCATCAAACACTCCCAGGGCAGGGACAGCACGAGGTTAGATACAGAGTAAAACTCTCTATATTCTTTCCGAGCTGGCACCAGGCTGATGGGCTGTTGTTTCTTTGCTCTGTCTGTTGTTGTGAGTCACTCACACTGTCCTGTTTTATTGTAGAGGAGTTTACCAGCGATCCGCAGGTGGCTGGAGCTGAGGACGGAGGAAGCCAGACCCGGCGGTGAGGAACCAGCGGGAGGGACTGAACTGAAAAGCACTGACGCAGACACCGAGCTCCCCGAGGGAGAAGGGGGTCAGGGAAGGCAGGGGCGTGCCTGCTCACCACCTGCCCCCTTGCAGCTCCCGGATGGGATACTGCTGCTCCTCAAACCCAGGGTCAGTCATCTGACCAAGAGGGAGTTACGCAGGCATAAACGCAGACCCTCAGCGGGTAAACCTGTTCTCATCCACCCGGCTGTTAAAAAGACCCCCTGCAAGCAGCCGGGGCCACTCCTGCCCCCCAAACACGGTGCCCGTCCGCCTCCCCGCCTCATCCAACCCGCTCCCTCTGTGCCCCTTGTCCCCCAGCTCTGCCAGCCTCAGGCAGTGCCCACCCTCGGTACAAGCCGCCCCACCCCGTCTCCCTGGCTGTGCCTGGGCTCCGCTGGCAGGAAACCGCGAGGCAGGAGAGCTGGGAGAAGTGACGCCAGGGGCCGTCGCCCCCGCCCCACCATCGTTCCGTTACCAGTCCAGCGGGCACCGGTCATATTGACCGTGCCACCCGGGGTCAAGCTGCTGAGCCTGCCCAGCAGCTGCTGCAATGTGCTGGACGTGACCCCAGGCCAGACCCTGCAGCTGGCCACCATGTTGGTCAGCCCCTCTGCCTTCGCTTGCCCCGTGACCCAGCCTGCGGCTGGAGGCCCCCCGGCGAACGGCGCCGCTGCCAGTGGCGGCGCCCTGTCTGACCGTCACGTGGAAGCAGAGGTTAGCTCGAGCTGCTCCACCTCGCGTCGAGAGGACCCGCTGGTGAAGGAGGGCTCCCCCGGGCACCGGCTCGAAAATGTGACCCTCAGCCCCAGGCCTGAGCAGCGGACGGTAAAATCCGAACCGGCTGAGGATACCATCGCCGGGAACCCCCAGGAATCCCGGCCCTGTGCCCTGGAGCAGCCCGCTCCTGAAGCCAAGGGGCAGGAGGAGCCTGTAGGTTCAGGTGGTACTCCTCCTCCTCCTCCTCCCCCTCAGGGTCCTGCTGGCACCGCTGACCAGGGGCAGGTCATTCTGGGGCTCGGCCAGGAGCTGGACGTGGACAACCCCCTGGATCACTCAAACGAGCCGAGCCGGCAGAAACCGGAGTTGGGGGAGCGGGTGCCAGACGGTGGAGAGGACTCCCCCAGGGAGCTGGGGTACAAGGAGGGTCTCCCGAGGCAGCTTCCTGAACCTTGCCGCGATGGCGTGGAGGAGGCGGTGACCAGCCCCGAGGACCTGAAATCTCACCCGGA